GAACACTGAAGTCGATTCTTTCTGATCGAATCTAGGCCGTCAGGAGCCTAGTGTTGATGATGATGATGCATTCTAGCTCAGGAAGAATACAAATATTGTTTGAACACTCTTACTGTGTGCAGGTACACACAGAATCCTTCCCTCTAGCAGTTCCGGTTAAAGCATCCGAAGATACGTTGCAGAAATACAAACAATGACTTTTATTTAAAAAAAAAACACTTTTTCTCTTGGATTGTGTGAACGTGTTTTTAATATTAGGAATATACATGATCTCGCCCATTACGTAACCAACAAATCTGTGGTACTTAACCACTTATCATCCAGTGGTAACTATATGTACCATCTATTTTAATAATTAGTAATTAAGGTTTCTTATTTATGAGTCTTGTATAATATTCATTGTAAACAGGGATTTTTTTTAAACAGTATTAACTAAACAATATTTGTAATGGTTAAGCGTTGTGTTGTCTTTTCGTTAGTGACTGGATTTTTAAAATGTTATTTAGACCAGTGGTATTCAACCTTTTTTGTTCACGTACCCCCAGATATAATTTCTCTTCAACTTTGTACCCCCAAAGTTGTTGGTGTATATAATTCAAGTTATACGTAGTATATAATCTACATCTAAAATAAATTAAATAAATTACATTACTGATTATTCAGTGTTATCATAAAATAATATATATTTTTTTTTTAAATTTCACGTACCCCCTAAGATGTTTTCGCGTACCCCCGGGGTACGCGTACCCCAGGTTGAATACCACTGATTTAGAAGACCTTAGGATTCAAAATAACACTGTTATTGTCAATGCAGAAAAATCTTTCTGTAATGACAACAGCGCTTACAAACTAGAGCATTCTGCCATCTAGCGTTATTATTTAAAATGCTGACAGGCACAGCCAATCACAAACCGTTATATATATAAACCAGAGAAAAACGCGTCATAACAATTAACAAGAAATTTTGGTCTTTCAGTTTACCAGCTAAATTTGAAAAAGATTAAAATATACCAACTATAATATTCTGT